CTTTTGTTGTCATGTTTGACAAAGCAAAAAGAATGTGAATCAAAACAGTAAAATGTGAAGATCCAATAAAACACCCTAAGAAACATGTAAGCGGTGTGTGGCTGAGAAGTATCTGAAACAATTTCTGAAACCATGAGCAACCATCTTCAGGAAATCAGGGTGGAGGGGGCAAGGTCTCAACTTAAAGACAATGCAAAAGAAAAAAAGAATGCAAAGAATAAATTTGTCAGTTAACCTTAATACAGACAAAATTTACCAAGTAAACTCAATTGATCATTTTAAGAATTCTGAGAGATTATAAAGTGATCAATGCCAAACACTGGGAACATCATTTACCAATAACATCCTGCTGAACTCATTTTTAGTTTTCCTTTTTAAACACACAGGAAGGCCACAGTGAGTAAGGAGCAAGTAATCCCCACAGGCAAATTCTGACTAAATGCTGAGATACTGCCACAAAATTAGTTCCATGAGCTGTTAGGACTAGTCAGTTACTAAGGCTTAAACATCACACAGCCTGCACACAACCCCAGTGTATCCCCCACATTGGGGCTGTAACACTCCAACCATGGTGTCAGCTGCACTAGCTTGAGGCTGGCACAGTCACATCCCAAAGCTGTGCTGGGCTGCAAGGCACAGGTCTTACTGAGGACTCTTGGATCACCTGGGACCAGTGCACCACTTGAACACCCTCTACTCTAAAAGAGTGGACTCTTTTATCACTATTCTAATAACTTTTCAAGATGTCCAGTAACCACAAAGCCAGGTGGTTAGTGAGACCTATTTGAGCTACCACCTGAAACTGAGGTGTTCCTGCATTGAAGTGAAATCTCAATCAAAGTTTAGGGTACTCAGGAAGTCTGGCAAAAGTTCAGGTCTGAACACTAACAACTACAGAGCTGAACAGCGTGCTTTGGCTGTGCCCACTAGAGGAAATGCTGTAACACACAGCCATACCTCTTTCCTGGCCATCTCCTGGAGCCGCCTGGGTAAGCGTTTAACGTTGTGACTCATTGCTCGCCTCCGCATGTGCCTGGGGAGCGTCTGGAACACCAGAGAGTTGGAAGACTTCTGTGACACTGCTTTCAACATGGCACTGATCTCAGCAGCACGAGCTTCAGCAAAGGCAGACACTGGAATGAAAGAACTGCATCAGAGCATGACAAACAGCAAACAAACCCAGAGGAGGATATTATATGTAAACTATGGAATCACTGCTACTACAGCAGTCCAATATCTTCTTGACATAAAATTAAGTACTGTACACTCACACTGAAGAAATTTCAGTTCTTTATATATCCTGAAGCTTACAGATATGGTCAAGCAAATATTTACACATGAATGAATCTCAAAGCTGTTTAACCAACAATTCCTATTTGCATTAAATACTTCTTTGTTAAATTAGAATGGCAATCTTTTCATGTGGTATTCAGGGAGATGAAAAAAATCATTAGCATGGAAAAAAAATGGAAGCAGTAACGTATTACGGACTGTTTTGAAACAATGAAATAAAAACCTAGAGCTTGGTCTCATTCCATGTTTATGGAAGTGTATCTACTATCACAGCACTGCCATATTTTGCAAAGCTGATTTGCTCTCCTAAATAAACCTTCTGTTAGGCAAAAAGCTATATTTAACTTATACCATGAGCAAAATCAGTTTCACTGGCTACATTAAAAGCAGATGAGTATCAGTATTCATTTTGCTGGCAAACAGCAACCAAAATGCATATTCCCTCACTACAAGCAAGTGTAACTTTTCCACTCCAAAGTCTGAAAGGACCCATTGAAACAACAGCTAGTCATTCATTCCAGTTCACAACTACTTCTGTGTTTTGGAGAAAATCAGGAAAAACAGAAAAACATAGCATCAGTTCTAATTTTCGTTCTTGCACAAAAACAAAGACAGCAAACTTAATCACCAGCAAATTGCCCTGGACAGACTAATTATGATCTTTTCACATATACAAACCTGTTATGTATTTTGGCATCTCCTCAGATACGCTCTGGTGTCCTCCTTGCCATCCTCCTCTGCCTCTGCCTCTCTCTCCTCTACTCTGTCCCTTTGAAAAATATTGGTCTTTCCTGTAAGAAGGCCCAGATGACTGATTTGAAAATTGCTGCTGCTGCTGCTCAGAACGAACATCTCCTGGAAGGTTTAGAGATGAAAAGAGGTTAGAGAAACACAAATTAGTCTGAGTAACAAATAACTCTATTAGTCTTTCCTCATAAAGCTGCATTGCAGACTCCTATTATATTTACTCCATGTAACTGCAAAAGCCACCAGAAATCAGAAGAATTACATTCTTTCTTACAGGAATAAATAAGAATTTTACACTGCCCAGAAGCAAACCTGTGGTAGAATAAGTAACTTTTCATGCTCTGAAAATGGTACACAATCCAGACTTTGCCTCCAAGAGCCACAGCAAAATCAGTCCATGCAACATCATAGTGATTTTTAATACTGTCTTGTCAGATTTTTAGTAACAAAACAGCAAAGTTATTTTTTCCACTTGCTCCTTAATTTTTTTTTCTATAAGCAAATGTATTCCTGCCTGACATATTACTTTTACAGCAATAATTAAGGTAAGCATGATACGTGTATGTTGGTGCAGTAAGTTACTTGTCTGGTACAAGCACTTAAACCAATACTGAAATTAAATAATTAAAGCCTATAGTAAAGCTTTCTAAGGTACAGACATACCTTTCAGGAGTGCTAAGCACCTGGCAAGTACCTAAAGCTTCAGAGGGCCTTGAAGTCCTTATTCAAACACCAGCGTACATTCAGCCTAACAAATACTATATACTAGTTTAGATAACTTTATGTTCAGTTAAGCCTTAGTTAGGATTTCTAGTACAACTTGAGATATGGTTCTCAGGCAGTTCATGCTGGACCATCCAAGAAAAAAAGCTCCAGACAGCCGTTCCCATCACCCCATCCACTACATCAAGACAAGTGCTAGAGAGAACAAGGGACAATAGCATTCACGGAGCTTCTCCAGTCAAAATCAAAATCATTTCTGTGTGTCCACAGAAATGGAGTGTGAGATTAAAAAAAAACAGTTTTCAGGTTGATCAGCTTCTTAAACAAGCCTGTCCCTTTGTCCCAAAAATGCTACCATTGGCATGAAGACCAGCCAGGAGTAGATTCACATTCAGCAGCATCTCAATTTATGAGACTTTAAAAGGAAAAGAACCTCTTTTTTCCATTTCAAATAAGCAAGAAACTGAAGTTTTATGTTTAGCAGCAGTACTGTTGTAGCCTGCTGCAACCGCACATCATGCAGAACTGCAGTAATACTGCAGAAAAAATAATTTGGTGTAGAAATAGAAATTAGCTTTTATGTCCTGACCTGGTTTTACACTTGCCTGAGAACAGCATTTTCCAGACACTGAGGTGAAAGTGAGAAGGAAATAGCTGGAAAAGAGGGATGGAAGCTGTCTCAGTCAGCAAATCTGTGTAGGCTTACAGCCCAAAATTAACTCATATCACAAACACACCCTCCTAATGAAGGACATAAAAATCGTAATCAGAAGACTGTTTGGCAAAACTGTCACTGACTTAATAACTAAAAAACCCTTAAATTATTTTAGCTGCTGTACAGATTCATAATTTTGTAACTCCTATTTAGGATTTTGCTTTTCTGTTTCTACAAAACAGCTCTGTAAAACTGTGATACTGACACTAGAGAAGGATGCTACATGGACGAAAATCCATGCCTTTTAACAGAATGGAAAAACATAACCACATAATCTTGGAAGTTCCCTGCTACAAATGAAGTTAGGAAAATGTATTTAATCTAGCAATACTCCTGTAATGACATTCCAAAATCTTCAGACATGGCTGAGCATAATTTGCTATGTCATTCTGTCTGCCTAGGAACTCTTCAGCCACCTAAATACACAGTGACGCTTAAGGGTTTTTTCATTCAATCACAAAGATGCAATTTGTCAACTTCTGCAGGCCTCACAGTAACAAGTCCTTTTTTAAGTTGGGTTTTTCCCAGAAATAACGTAGGTAACAAAGTATCTAAATGTGAAGGTGGTGGGGGAAATTGAAGTCTAATTGAAGCACAGAGGATGCAGGTCAAACCTCAAAGACAAAAAGAGCATCTAGCATACAAACTGACAGGATCCTTCAGTCTTCAGCTGCAAAGGTTACCTGTGTACAAAAAGCTCCAGCAATAACCCAGGACACTGACATTTTAGGGACATGCTTTCCTGCCTCCTGCCAACACCCTTCAGAGATACAGGAGCCACCAGCCCCAGGAGGCAAACCGGCTGGGCATGCACATCTGAGGGAAAACTGGTGCATGAGAGAAAACAGCACCAGCAGACTACACCAGGCCCTCCTGCAGCTCCCAGGTCTGGTGGAAAAGCAAGGGAGAAACTGGATCGGGTATAACATCCAAATTCACTTTACGACTGGGAACTGCAAGGATTCGTTATGTAACTGAAGGGATGACAGAGAGAAGGGCATATTCACAGGGTACAGAATAGTTTGGGCTGGAAAGAGCCTCTGGAGACCACCCAGTCCAACCTCCCGCCAAGGCAGGGTCACACAGAGCAGGTTACACAGAACGGGTCCGGGTGGGTTTGGAATGGCCTCACACAGGGGCTCCCACAGCCGTACCTGGGGTGGGGCAGGCTCTGCTCCCGCCGCCGCCGAAGGGCCCCGGCTCTGCGGGCAGCGTGACGCTGGCCGGCTGGTTCCTCATCTTCTTGGCTCGCTTCTTCTCCCGCGCCCCAGACATCTCCGGCGGGGTTGCGGAGCCTCTCCGCAGCGGGGACAGGAGAGGAGAGCTCGGCGGGCTCTGCGAGCTGGTGCAGGTGCAGCCGCAGCCCCCGGCACCAGCCCCGACACGGCGGTCACTCGCGGCGCGGCCTCCACCGCCACACGTGGGCACCCACGCCCCGCTACCGCGCATGCGCATTCTCCCGGCAGACCCCTGAAGGACTACATTTCCCAGAGGCCCGCGGGCGGTGGTGGGCGGGGCGTGCTCCGGCAGAACGCTAAGGGGAGGGAGTGCAGGCGGGGAGGCCCCAGCAGTCACTGCAGCTTCGGGACCAGCTCCTGCCATGGCCTCGCTCGTGAAGAAAATAATCAGCACTGCTAAAGCCCCTGCACTGGGTCCCTACAGGTAATGCTTTAGAAAGATCTGAGAGTCTTGGTGGATAGCAAGTTGACCGTGAGCCGGCGGAGCCCTTGCAGCCAATGGTATCCTGGGGTGCAGCAGGAACAGTGGCCAGCAGGTCGAGGGAGGTGATCCTGCCCCTCTGCTCAGCCCTAGTGAGGCCACATCTGGAGAGCCCTATGCAGTTCTGAGCTCCTCAGTACAGGAAAGACAAGGAACTACTGGAGAGGGTCAGCAGAGGGGCACAAAGATGATGAGGGGTCTGGAGCACCTGAGGAGAGTCGGGGGAGCTGTTTAGTCTGGAAAGGACTGACAGGGGATCTCATGAACACCTATAAATACCTCATAGACAGGTGCTAGGAGGATGGTGCCAGAATCTTTTCAGTGGTGCCCATTGACAGGACAAGGGGCAATGGCCATAAACTAGAACAGAGGAGGTTTCAGCTCAACATGAGGAAGAATTTCTTTATATTTGGAGTGGCAGAGCAGTGGCACAGGCTGCCCAGGGAGGCTGTAGCGTGTCCCTCTCTGGAGACATTCCAAACCCGACTGGATGCGTTCCTGTGTAACCTGCTCCAGCTGCCCCTGCCTTGCCAGGGGGGTTGAACTGAATCATCTCCAGGGGACCCTTCCAACCCTAACAATTCTGTGATTTTGGGAGCGGGAAGTCTCTCAGGGGGTGCAGGAGCAGGTTTTGCTGGCAGGGTTTTGGCATGTCCCTGGGGTCTGTCAGGTCCCTCAGGCCTGGGCTGAGGGCAGGACCCTGAGCAGGGGCCGCTCCTGGTACCCCCTCCCCAGTAACCCCCGGGGCGCCTGGAGTCTCAAAGCACGAGTGGGGCTGTGGGGCCACGGCAAAGTGCAGCCCCATAGCAGGAGGGGGATAGCTCAAAAAGTTAGGTTGGGAAAATAATTCTGGAATTAGTGGTAAGGAGTGAATTTAAAAAAAAAAAAAAGAAGAAGAATGATTGCTCTCCAGAAAAAGGTGCTTGGCTTTTTTCCCTTCCATGTTGTGCAGGGAAGCTAGAGATGCTGACTATGCAGGTGATACAGAGTGAATGCTGAGCCCAATCCAGGGCGAGCTTGGTTGGATGGAGAATTCAATGCCTGGGAATTGAAAAGTCTTTCTTATTTTGAATTGTTATAAATGTTTTTCAGCCTAAAAACTTAACTGCTGTAAAAATATGTAAGATGTTCAGCATTTTCACAAGTATGTTGCTGTAGCAGTTTTGCATATCATTAAAATGAAAAATCCCAGTTTGAATTGGAGAAAGGCTTCTCTTTGCAATTTGGATATGAAAAAATGTTCAGTCAGTATAGTAGATTGTCATAGCTAAAGTACTAAAGGGTTTTTACCAAGATATTTTCTAAGAATTTTTAATTCTATATTCAGGCTTTGTGTTCACAATAGCATCTTTGTGCCTTCCAGGTGCATTTTTTGTCTCCATTACTTTGTGTCCTAAGCTTTCTAAGCTTCGGACTTCTTATAGGCATATAAAGATGGAAAAATACAAAGTGTAGAAGCAGAGAGACATGACATGAAGGTTAACTTCTGTAAACAATAAACTATTGGTGGATGGCAGCCAGGGGCCTGGCATTGCTTGGCATCAGGAGAACATCTAAGACATGGGAATGCAACAATTCTTTGTCTGCATGTCCACACCACTGTCCTGGACTTCAACATGGCTTTCAACTCCAAAATGTTGTGCTTGTTGGTAGTTTTTGATTAAATACTGCTTATTGTGCAGCCTGTTAAATGTATGATGGCTCTAACATCAATAAGTTTATCACTAACTTAGTTTATCAGATTTTAGTAAACTTGTCAAAGTCCACAGAGCAGAAGTTGCACAAGAAATAACTGCCAGATCTCTGCTGTGAGGTCTGAGCTTGGTTACACAGCAATGAAGGATTGGGATGAATGAACTGCATTCCTGGTTCTGCTTCAGCCCTTCAATATGATTTTTGGTGACCTATTTTTACTGTATTTTTCTATTTCATTTACTGCATCCATTTGCCAGTACCTTGAGATGGGTAGGTAGATGTATAAAAAGACATATATGTGTATGGACCTATATATCTCATTAATGTTATTAACCTTTTAAAGGATACTGTTCTTGTATTAATCCACAGTCATTTGTGTAAAGATCTGATTAACAGAGCATGGTTCCTAACACCATCTCTCTGACAGACAGTGTTGTTCCAAGGTCACAGTGTCTGCCCAGTTATGCATTCAGGCACACTAAGACGTGACTGACTTTGGACACACATCACATCCCTGCTGATTAATGAGTAGCTATGACTGGCCCTAGTTGCAAGGTGCATCTGCAGTTAAGAATTGATTGGGGTTTGTGGAGTTGAAGTTTCCCTTAGCTGCACTTGTACATTTGAGTGCAGTGCAGGTGTGCTCCCTGGCTGGTAAATTGTTCCTGGCCTCAGTGAATGGAGGATTCCCTGGTGGGCACACCAAGAGGAGGAAGCTGAGCAGACCCAATCAGGCTGCTGCAGATGTTTATCTGGCAGTGGTATCAGAAGGCTTCAGCTTGTTCTTTCCCAAGTTATTCATGATTTAGGACTCTCAGAAGGTCTCTGAGATAAACCTTTCACTGTCATTTGCTCTGTGATAAACAGTACAAGACAATCTCTTTCAGTGGAGAGCCCATACCTTCTTGTTGCACAGTTCCCTGTGCTTCAAACACAAACAGAAGGTTGTGCTCTGAGGGCCTCCCTCCACAGCAGCAGTAGTAGCAAAGAAAACTAAAGAAACCTATGTCTACATGCACACATTTCTATCAACAAGACTGTGTCAGCTAGAAAACTATTCACTGGTTTCTCTTCTTTGTATGGTGTAGTTTTGTGATTTACTCCGGTTTTGTTAGTTGATGACAGAAAAAATAATTCCCATGTAAGACAGTTTACCATATCTGACAAAGTTACTGGCTATTTTTTCCCCTCATGAAATTCAGGAGAATGTAGGGCAGGTGTAACAGAAAAGATGGGAAGTTCAGACTGCCTAACCCTGATCATTTGACTGAGTCCCTAGATGAGGTTAGTACCTTGTGAGGTAAATGCATTAAGACAATCCAACTGAGTGAATCTCAGCTGAGAGATGTACTGAAAATATTCTCTGAATATGTCCCTCTTTTTCCATCAACATTAAAGGGAAGCAAAACTCCTATTTCAGATACTTCAGAAAGTGCCTAACTCTAGTTTGTGTAGCTTGAGAGAGCTGTTGAATGGCCAAAACATTGCATTTTCTTATGGAATGAGAAGAGATATGAAAAATGGTATTGACATGCCACAAGCACTTGCAAAAGAATCTTTCTATAATTTCTTTGCAAAATATTTTTAATTATTGGTTGAAGATAATGAAGTTGTGTCACTTGTATAATGTTTGCTAGGTAGTTTAAATCTTTGCTTTCAACTTTTAACCTCTTTGTAGTAGAGACATTAATAGTTGCTGACTCAACTTCAGCAAAAGCACACCTGACATTTTTATATAAATGTTTTGCAAATAGCTTGAATTTTGCATTCTTCTGAATTAACAGCAAAGAAGTCCCTCAGGTTATTTGGTGAGAGGAGAGTGATTGTTCTAGGAATGGAGTGATCAAGGTGTTTTGCTGACTGGCCAAATTCCTTACTCTGGAGGAATACTGCCAGAGAATCAGGGTACAGGGTCACCTCACAGCTGTAACTCATTTTCATAGTGCCTGTTTAAGAAGAAAAATGTTAAAAGTTAAATATCTTTTGACTTTCCTTTTTTTTTTTTTTTGTTTCTCCATTGCTCTGCAGGTGAATTGTGGTTGAAAGGTATTGTCTGCTTCTCAGACAGGGATGCAATATTTATCTGGGCAGGTGCAAAAAATGTTTTTATTTACTCTGCCTTCCCTCTGTGCTATTTGCTGTGAGGAACCTGTAGCTCAGTTTAGTGTTGTGTTACTGCATTTACAACTTGTGCCTTTGCAAGAAACAAAGGTTTATCTCCTCGAGGGCAGAGCTTAGATGGTGTAATCCCAGCTCTTCAAAAGCATAAGCAGATTGATGTGTGACTGCATGTACAGACTTGCATGTGCAAAACCTCAGTCTTCTTCCTGATACATTATAAAGTACTGTAGAAAATTTGAAATGTGCTTTTGGATTTGAAATTTGAAATGTTTTTGTGGGGGAACATGACCTAAAATGGCACTTGTGCTTTCAGCCAAGCTGTGCTGGTGGACCGGACAATGTACATTGCAGGGCAGATCGGGCTGGAGCCTTCCACTGGGCAGCTTGTCTCTGGAGGGGCAAAAGAGGAAGCCAAGCAGGTAAGAAGTCTTCCAGCAATGAACTTGTAATGGAGTTGCCATGTGTCTCATTAAAGGTGGAATTGTGGAAAAATTGAGGAGGATCGAGAGCACATCACATTGTCCAGATGAGGGAAAAGCAGGAGGAAATCATTCCATCTTAACTAATGCTGTCATTTTTCCAACAACTTGGAAAACACAAAGGTCAGGGTGGAAATCTGTTTCATGTAGGAAGGTATGAAAGGTTCAGTGTTTTGAAGCAAAGGTTCACACCCCAATAAAAACCCTGGCTTGAGTCAGGCAAAGTTTTAGTCCCCCAGCAGCAAAGAGGTGGAGTGAGATAATAGGATGAGATGGAGCTGCATCATGTATTTACATCTTATGAGTGGATGGTTTAATATTTATTAGATGCTCCTTCCTATTAATTTTTATTTAAGTTAGTCTTTTTTTGACAGTTGAGGTTCTGCTGGTTGAATAGTAACACTTCAGCCAAGTCACAAGTTATATTTACATACTTACATAAATATAACCCAGCTGATAGCTAAAAGATTTTTTGTTTCATGTTTTCTTTAGGCTCTAAAAAACATGGGAGAAATCCTGAAAGCTGCAGGCTGTGACTATGGCAATGGTAAGTGCTGCTGTGACTCTGGCAAACAGGTGGTTGTTTTTACCTGAATTAAAATATTAAAAAATCAAGTGACCTTTAAAAAAAAAAAGAAAACAGCTATTTGCTGAACATTCAATTGTTACCAATAGCTGGAAGAAACAAAAATTGTGAATTTAGGTTAAAAAATAAAGGAAATGAATCTGCATGGAAGTCTTTGCAATGGGTATCAATGGTACACTGTCTTTCACCAAAAACTTCTGGCAATGGTAGTAATGTTTTAATTCCAGCTGGGGGAGCTCAGGTACAGACAATGTTTCAGTGACTGCAGACATTTTAAGCTTTGCTCCAGGTGAAAGCAGGTTTGTATCTTTGCTGTTAGTATTCTAGACACTGTTTTTGGGGGGAGGATTCTACTGGTCAAGCCACACCAGGATTCATGCTGGGTTAGGCAGTCCTGGGAAAAATTCTAGCACAGAGTATATTTTCAGACCTTCCATGAACTTTTTTTTCTGGCAGCAGATATTATTATATATAAGTTATTGCCAGCAGCTGGCTTACAGCCTGTTGTATTTGATCTGCTTATCAGTTCAGTGCCTCTTGGGAGAATTTGGCTTTTTCAGAGCTAGTCAGGAATGGTTTAATTCCCTAAGGTTTTATTACATACTATGTGCTCAGATTTTTTTTAGGTGGTTCCCTAGGTTGTAGCTCTAATGGTCAATATCTGCAAAACTTTTCAAAATGTTTAGAATACTTGAGAGAAATGTATAAAATAAAAGCAAGAAATGCACTAAAGTTTTTCAATTTTTTTATGCAAGTCAGAGGTCTAAAATAACTGCACTTACATAATTTCTAGTTGTGAAGACCACAGTTTTGATGGCTGACATGAAGGACTACAATGATATCAATGATGTTTACAAACAATGTAAGTAGATATTTTAGTTGTGTTTTACCATTATGGCTTGTGGAAAAATTATGTTCATGGTAGTCAAAGTGTTTTAATGACTCAGATGATGTAGTTCCATATTTTTTGAAATTCCAGTAGAAATTCGTTTACAATTTCAAGTATCAGATCAATCAGAGCCTAATTTCATGTGCATTTGTGTTCTCCATCCCACTAACTCACTGTCCTGTGAAGATCAGCTCCTGCTATCCCTACAAGTTGATCTTACCTTGCTTGATGTTCTGCTGTCCTGGCTGTAATTCTACTGTAGGCAGCCTCCAATGCTGAATTTCAGATTTTATATCTCCATTTCTTTAAAGTCTGTATCTTTGAATAATTTGAGGGCCATTGTTATGGGACAGGGCTCGTTCTTTATACAAGGATGAGCCATGCTGCTCCCCTTGAAGGAAAAAAGAGAACAGTGCTTGGTCAACAAAAGTGAATGTAGACTGAAATGGGTGATTCCAACGAGCCATGTTGGGCAGAATAATTTGGGACAATTTGCATGAGCTCCTTATTTATATAGCTTTGGCTTTTAATTAGATAGCAGCATCTGGTCTGGAATGAAGTCTCATTGAGAAGCAAGTAACACAGTTTCCTACTTGTCAAAATGTACTGGGGGTGTGAGTTCTTAAGCAGGGTAAAACCAGACCAGCTGCATGCTTGGTTACTTGTTACCTCCAGCTGGAGTTTGAGCAAACAGCTGCTGCTGTTCTCTCATTGTGAGTTATTACTTCAATGCAGGACCCCAACACTTCCATTATTAACAGTTTTGTGATTACTGTCACTAGTAAAACTTTGACTTCATTATGCAGATTTCTTGATAGTGTTCAGTCTGGCTGGACAGGACTTTGAGCAATCTGATACAGTGAAAGATGTTCTTGGCTGTGGCGTGGTGGTGAATTGGACTATGTGGTCTTTAAAGATTCCTTCCAACCTGAACTATTCTCATATTCTGTAAATCCAGCTCTTATATCTTTACCAGTACCCTTCCCCAAGCCTTACCCCTGTTCTAATATCTGTGTTTGTCAGGTTCTAAATAGGCCTGTTTTTCCTCTGTTTTTCTTTGATATGAGTAAGGTTAGACTCCTGGTGACTTCCTGTGAATCTGGGATCTTTGCTCATGACTCTTTTGGCAGAGGCCTGTTTCTGTCTCCTGCTCCTTCTGTGAAAGAGCCATCCCCCATTCCCTGATGTTTGAAACTGGATGATCACCATTCTGATTGAATCATCCTTTTGCAGCCAAGTTGGTGTGAAGGCCCTGCAGTGTCAGCAGAGTACAGGTTATCACTGGCCACCAGGTCTCAACTGCAGCTGACTGCTGGGGGATGAGTGGTGGCTTGCTGAGATTGAGAGCAGTCAGTCACTAAAGCAAAAAAAAAACAAGGCTGGCATAGAAGTCTTGTAGCCTTGAACCTGTTCCAATGATTTAATTTTATACAGATTACTTTGAACTCTGTTTTATCAAGCCAAGGTTAGTGATTGCTGGATGTTTCTGTTTAAATTACAGTTTTCAAGGCAAACTTCCCAGCCAGAGCAGCTTATCAAGTTGCTGCTTTACCCAAAGTAAGTGTCACTTTTCTATCTACAAAAAACCCCAACGTTTTCTGAAATACTACTGAAGCATTCTGACAGCTTTTTGAATTCTGAAATAGCTTTGATTGCAATTATTTCAATAAAGACTTAATTAGTTTCTTTTCTAAGTATACCATTGTTATTCCCACACATTGTCAGAGATCTGCATGTGAGATACATATTTCTTTATGGTGGAAAACATTAGAAATAAGGGGTTATGATACTTGAGTAAGCATAAATTGAATTTACAACATACTGAACATTGCTAAATCAGTAATACAACTGTCAGAAATATAATCTCTCTCAAATGTCACTCTGTTTTTTATGAAGTTGTGTTGTTCATCCAATTGCTTCATAAAATAGATACATTAAATTCCTAATATGTTTCTTCATTGTTTTGTCACAGGGGGCCAGAGTTGAGATTGAAGCTATTGCCATTCAGGGACCTCTCCAAGATGCTTCAGCATGACTATAAATAGAGATTGGATATCTTACAATGGCAGTTTTAGATTGAGTTAATACTTCTCCCTTATATCCAATTCCTACAGCTGACTAATAGCAGTTACACACAGCTGAAATCAGTAAACTTACTGAGGAAAGGTGCTTTCTTCAGCACTCACAGTGAGTTCTGTACTGACAAACTCTGAAAAGTGCCTGAGTCCTGCTAAAACCAGCTGAGCCAGATTGCAGGACAGGATCTGCCCTTTGTGGGGGTGACTGGATATTCAGGTATTAAGGTACATACCTGGGTGAATGTATTGGAGTTACACTATGGGTGATATGGACATGGAAAACTATACTGATTTGTAATTGTAGGTCTTTTGTCATTTTTTAATTTAAAATTTTTTACTAATGAGAAAACAGAACACATTAATTGCTTAGCATACATCTTCACTTCAGAGGAATTTTACTTTATTTGCTTCTGAATTTTCTTAACCTCTTTCTTTACATAATAGATTACTGTTGGGACTCAGATTTTTTTTTCATATGTAAGCAACTGCTTAACAAAGACAATAATGATTTCAGAAAGAAGAAAATTATGATTTTCTGAAGTGGTACCTTTATAAATCAGATGGATATTAATATCTACATGTTACCGTTCTCGTGATCTTTTTTATAGCAATTCAACTTTGACTGTTTTGATTTTAAAAAACCAGTAAAAATTAAAGAATGTTTAATGAGAATCAAATAAAATTGCAACTGCAAAATGTGCTTGTCTATTATGGGAACAAACTTTTCTTTTCCTGAGTGTGGTTTAATACTCCATTACAAAAAAGTCTCCAGCTTGCTTATACAATAACAAATTTGAACCAAGAGAATAGGCTTATCTACATCCTAATAGCTAAGGATTAAATTCTCCAGGACAGGAAGTTTTCAGCTACCATCATTACAGTTCTTGTAATTTTTTCCTCTGCCATTAAGGTCAGAAGCATTGGTTTGATGGGGTGATTAGAAAATATTGAGAAATCCAACTGGTGATGCCAGTAACTTATCCCATCCCTCTGTATTGATCTTCTGTCAAGTAGAAATAGATACTGTGAGAACAGTCAGCCCTACTTACCAGTCCTAGATTTGATGTGAAACAACCATTCCTCCTTTTCACTGAGCTTATAAATTGTACCATTATAGACAAAAGATTCTTATTGAGGTTTTCACAGCAAATATATGCAGCTATAAGGATTTTTTATAGAATTACCTTGCTTTTTCTGGGACATAATTATTTTTATTAGAAGCAAGATAATGCCTTTGTTATTTCAAACAGCAGACTTCCAAACAACCTTTGAAAAATGCCTGACTTTTCTCTAAATAAACTTCCTATGCATAAACTTTTTGTTGCTGTTCTTGTTCTGTCTCCTTGGCTGTACTAATAAGGCATCTTATGCTCTGTAGCTCTGATTCCATAAGCAGTCCCACCTAAGAAAACACATGGTCAGATGTGTTAGGAAGGAGTTAGTACTAACTAATATGGCTATGACTTTCTAGGAAACACAAAGCAGATGTTCCTGCATTTTGTTAATTAATAATAATTTAAAATAATGTAATTGAATGGAGTTACATTTAAACTTTTAAATGGAGTTAAATTCCTAATTTATTAGGTTTCTCTGTTACAGCTTTGTTTAGGTGTAATTACTTGGTTGGGATCTGTTTCACTGATTTGTAGGAGATTTAGTTCAAGTTTACTGTTAATGAGCTGATTTCAATTGTTTTGAGCATGAGCTGTGTTCAGCCTTTTATAACCCCGTGGTTTATCCCTCCTCACTGCTCGCTGCCTTCCTCCTGTGCCCGCCTGGAACCCAGCGCTAGGTGGCAGTTGCGGTATTGTGGTGGCGGGCTGAGCTGAGCATTGGCCGGTAAGAGCCCATCACAGCCCTCCTTGGGTGGCAGGAGAGTGAATGCACCGCTGCTCTGCACAGCGGGGAACAGTCTGAGACTGAGATGTAAATGAAACACCTGGAAAAGTTCCATGCTGGATGCAGCTGACAAGGCAGAACATACTGCCTCCATTAAGTGTTTGTATCAGTAAGGTGCATTCTGCAAAAACTCAGGAACAGAAATTCCCTTTTAGCTTTATGATTCTTCAGATGAGGATAGTTGTAGTTTTTAGACTATATATTTAAATCAAAGCCTTTCAAGACATTTTCTTGATATGTATTCTTCTGATAGAGGAGGTTTAGAATAACTGAAATAAACTCTCTTATTTACAGCTCTAACATAGTTGTTTTCAAAATAAAAATTCTGCCTTCCACAGAGAAGTATGAAACATTTCTTTTATTTAAGCAGTTATATTATTTGACTATTCTATAAAACAAAAGCCAACAGCCATGATTCTTCAATATGAAAAGCCTGTCTCCTAGGTCTTAATTTGCAAACTAAGTACATAGACATTTAACAAATCGTTTTAAATAGAGGTATGTTAAAAGGGTTTTGTTTTTCCTTTGGTAGATTGAGCTGCATGCAAAATACAAAGTTGCAGTTCATCTTGTGCCATCCTCATTTCGGCATTTAAAATCTGTTTCTGTCACATGTAACTAAAAAAACACAGCAAAACACCTCTTTCTGTGAAAGTTAAGCAATGTATAAAGTACTGAAATGTGTATGATCTACCAAGTGTTTCTTTTAGTAAGACTCTTTCTTCTTTAAGTGATTATATTCTCAACAGGTTAAATAATGCAAAAAATAAATTTCAGAACCTAGTTTTAATGAATGTGTGTTCTCTTAAACCACATAAACTGCCCCAATCTTCTTCTACCTGCACTTTCTCTTGCTGCCATATTTACCTAAAAGCAGTTCCTCATTGAGTGAAAGAGCCAACCCCAGCCAGATGTGCTGGGATCTTCTGAGACCCTACAGTGTGTGTATGTGTCTGCACAGAGCTGGCAGGGTGCAAATTTAACCTCTTCTAGGGCTGTGTTTATTGGAAACTAGAAAAAAATTTCTACCAGAACTTTCTTGTTAGCTTGGAAAATAAGTTTGTTCTTTCTAGTGCACTGCCCAGCACTCCCTTCAGTGAGGAATGGTTACTTCTACCTTGGATGAAGTTGAGGACTGAAGATCGTTTAGCTTTTGATAAAATACAAAACAATCCTCAAAAATGCTTGACTGTATTTAAAAAAAAAACCAACATGTTGCTTAAGATCTGGAGGTGTATCATATAAACACAAATATTGCAGCAAATCCTCCTTTTCCCAGCCTTTAACATGAGAAAGCTCTTTGACAGACAAATTTCTGCTCCTTGCAACCTCTGAGTAGTCCCAGGTATGCAGGGGCAAATAACTGCAGGCAGTGGCTCTTTATCCATAGTACATGCTTTGCTAGCTCCCAGACTATGAATACCAGATCTCAATGAAATTTGCATGGCAGGGATGTCTTATTTCTCAGGGCAGGAGTGTTCAGCATATTTCTAGCAAGCACATTTTGATAACTTAGGTGATTTAACTTTTCATATTTAACATAGTATCAAGCATACTTCCTCTTTAGGAGAGGAAAAAGAGAATTCACCTGTTGTGATTATAGACTTTGTAAGGATGAAGATGATTGAGAAATACTGCTACTGTTTAGTCATAAACTGGTTTATATTCCTCTTGTTTTCATCTGCATTGCTTAATGGCCTGAAGAAGCTGAACTGTGAAGAACATACACAGTCACCTGTCATCCTTGTTACAACAGTGGTAGAAAGAGTGACTCTGAGGTGAGCAGGTCATTGTGACTCCCTTGTATCTTTAAATTTTATTTCCAAGTGCAGTCTCCTCTGTTGCTATGAATACTACTGATCTCTGTCACAGAACTCTTGTTGGTTTATGCTTAAAAATAGTTTCATGCTTGCCAGACTGCAGTTCAGGATCTTGCCTGTTGGCAGCCTGTCTCTGCCGATTTCATCTCCTGTGTTTTGGAGTGGGGCTGTGCTAGTACATGTGCTGGTGGCTGAACTGAATTCCCAGCTCACAGGAGGAAATCAGCTGAGGATGGAAGTGCTTGGGGCATCCTGGAACATGGCTGTACACCCAGCCCAGTCCCATGTCACTTTGGGGTGTTCTCATTCTGCTCAATACCTGTTCCCCAACTCCTGAAAGTGCATGGTGATGTTTTTCATGGGATGGTTTGAGTATGTGGATAAAAACATTGACTACTTCTGTTTGTATTTTTGATGCTCACTTTAATGTCAATAGATGTTTTAAATAGACCTAGCAGCTTGTTTTAGCTTCTCTGTTACAGAAGGCCAGAAAAGCTAAAAAATAAATTAAAAGTGACATCCACCTAGCAAAAATTCCCTAACAAATGTATGCATTTGGCTTTTAAAAGTTTGTGGTGTTGCCTAGAGGAAGTTAACATTAAATGAAACTGACAAGTTCATAATAATGCTGCTAAGGAGAAAACCTTAGATTTAGTAATACAGCCAACTATCAGCTTATACAAAAGGTTAATAGGCCAAGGATATCAATTAGATTATTTAATACAAATCAGAGTCAGCTGGAGTCAGACATGTGCATGCACTATGAAATTATATCTTGGAGGGGATTTGTATAATTTGCTGGTGACAGGATTTTTGTTAAGTCCTATTATACAATAAAGCTATTAAAAGAGCAATATTGTGCTTGCCATTTTTAGGTAACTGACCATTTCTCCATGTCCTACATCCTTATGCCAGAGATCTTGTAAACACAGTCCCTAGCAATGTATTAGATCGAGTCCCTTTGCACAGGATATAGCCTCAAGCTGTGCCAGCAGAGGTTCAGGTTGAACATCAAGAGGAATTTCTTCACAAAAAGGGTTATTGGAATGGGCTGCCCAAGGCAGTGGTGGAGTCACCATCCCTGGATGAGAAATGACTGGATGTGGCACTTACTGCCATGGTCTAGTTGACAAGGTGGTCTTCAGTCAACATTTGGACTAAAGTAACTTAGAGTTGTTTTCCAACCTGATTGATTCTGTGATCCTGCAACATTCAGCACCAGAACAAATTTCTACTCTTTATCTGACCCAAAACACCAATCCTATCTAGGGCCTATTTCACAGCAAATTTGTTTGAAATATTGCCATTCAGCTTCATCTCCAAAATGACTATTTAGCATTTTGGAAAACAACCCAGACAATCCCTGATAGCATAGAGAAATAAAATAGATAACCTTTTCTTTGGGAACAGGCTTATATTTGTCTCTTAGACAGGTTTGTATTTTCTCTCTTAGAAGTCCATTTTAGAAGCCACAAATGCATATGAGGAGAGCTACACAGTTAAAGACAGGTTATTATTGGCCATTAATGTTAACAGCTGTGAAGTGATCTTCTAGGATTTATATAACTAAAACATCCCATTCAATTAAAAATGCCCCCTGTATTGTACTACAATCCCTTCAAAAAATTTGAATTTAAAAATGGGGAGTGAGCAGCACACAGCTGGGTCGTGGACACTGCACTCTGTTATCTTCTATTTTCTGGAAAACTGCCCTCTGCATTTAGTTAGAGCTTGGTAAATTTCCTCTCCCAGTCCTCTGCGTGCTGTACATTTCAGCAGCTGCCTGCATTGGTAGTCCAGGCACTCAGAGGACCTGCCTCCATACACTAATTGAAGAGAAAAAAGCTACACTCTATTTTTCATGCTATATAATGTTGGTTGAAGGTTTCAAAATTTGAAGCCAGTTAATCTGAACCTGGTAAAACCTCCTAATTGAAAAAGGAATGCTCATACTGCTGTTGAAAAGGTATGCTGGTGTGTATAGAAGGCACTCTGTGGCAGGGAGATGAAAGTTTGAGTATTTCAAAAACTTGAAGCCCTGGCAGCTTGACTTCAAAAAATCTGTATTATATAAAACTTTTTCTGATGCTTCCTATTCATGTGTCTGTAGCTTGTGTTTCAATCCATAAAAGCCTTTATATTTTCCCAACCCAATAAAATTTAAAAATATTCATGTGAACAGAAGAGCAGGCCCAAGAAGAGGACATTCATTGAGACATAACTTCTATTCCTTGATATTAGCTGTCTCTGAAACACATGGAGAAAATTAATTTAGCAATTAATGGAAAGTATAACTTGATATTCACTAAATCTGACAGGAACTCAAAGTGAAAGTTCCCTGGAAGTATCACAGGATGGAGGGGATATCTGCTCTTCTCCCAAATCTGTAAGAATGTTCTGTATGGACCTAAAAGCAACCAGTGGTTCTGCTTCCTCTCTGCCATCCCATCATACACAGTCGCAGTTCCTGTCACAGACATTAACATCACCTCTGTGAGTCACTGCTACAGTCTCTTCTCCTCACCCTGCTGCCTTTTCTCTTAACTTTTGAAATCACTACATCCTTCCAGTCAGATTTGGCACAGAGGCAGGCACTTCATGGAGAGTAAATCCTAAGTAAGGACAAGAGACAAAGGGCACAAATTGAAGTGCCCTTTTAAATACAAGATTATTTTTTTTCTTTTACTGTAAGGACAGTTAAGTTATGGAAATAGGCAGCACACAATTGATGCAGTCTCCACCCCTGGGGATTCAAAACCCAGCGGGACAACCTATTCCTGCTTGAGCAGGACTAGACAAGCTCCAGAGGTATTTTTCTACCTCAGCTATTCCATGACAAAGTATGGCTGAGGAACTGCGTCCTGAAGCTACTGTTGGCCATCAGCAGCTGAGAAGCTCTGGGGCTCACTCGATGGCTAAAAGGCAGTGCCCCAGGGGGTGACTGGCTGAAATCACAGTGTCCGGCCATCCCACCTCAAAGTACTCCTTCCCCAGCTAGGAGACTCAGCAAGGGTAGGGAACATGAGAATGTGGGACTTCCTCACACTGAGCTGTGGTGTTCCATGAGGGAGGGTAAGGAACACTGGAAAGGTGGGAAATTTTGCCTGGGAATGAAGATGACCAACAAAAGTGATTCTCTGTGAATAAGATTTTTAATAGAACATGAAAAAAGCCAAGTCCCTTTAATGGTTTCAAATTCAACACTTAGTATGTTACTGAGCATTCCCTTGTTCTTAGGTGGACATCAGCTACCTTTAGAGCCCTATTTTTAATTTTTTTTTTTTTAACTAGGATCAGCTTGTGTCCTCTTAGTCATACCCTCCTAGAGACAAAGATGTGAATATTTTCGATGTCTCTCAAAGTAAGAATTTTTCCATTCCCTTAAGCAGTCTTGCTTTCCTGCCCAGAATCTTGCTTTATTTCTCCAATATCCTTTCAAGATGGAAGAATTGCTCCCTTACACAACAGAACCCCAGGTTTAAATTATCAGTATTCCCTTCTTAGCATTGTTTGCTCCTCTTGCCTGCAGCTGTTCTCTGAGCTGGGTCAGTGCACTCCCATCATCTGAAATGCATTACCGACAGAAAAGTAGGGCTGCTCTTTCTGCTCCCTTGCAAAACTGTTGGGGAGAATACTGTCAAAGCAGGCAAATGCAGGAAGAATTTCAATAAAGCAATAAATTTCATCACTAGGTGAAATTTCTAGTAATGTTCAAGACCAAGCTGGATGAAGCTCTGACCAACCTGATCTAATGGGTGGCATCCCTGCCTATGGCAGGAGGGCTGGAACTAGGTGATCTTTAAGGTCCATTCCAATCCAAGCCTTTCTATGATTCTCTAACTCTTCAGGAGCAGGAAGATGTTCTTTGAGGTTTCCTAGAACAAGTTAAGTGCTTTGCTGAATTCATAGCACAGAGAGATGATTCTTTGCAAAAGCATAGGAGCTTTTAACAAAGAATATAATTTCCTTTAGCCCTCTGGCAGGAGCATTAGCAGCAGTGCTACAGCTGGCTTGCCCTAAGGCTGTGACACATCCCAGCATTGGGAAGGAACCAAAGAGTGCTCACCCCAGGTGCAAGGGGCTCCTTTGGAAGTCATGAAAGACACTGGTGTAAGGTATCTGCCACCCTTTCTGCTGAAGCTGTTCTCCTCTGAATTACAGAAATACCTGCTAGCCCAGAGAGATTCTGAGCATGACCAAGTACAACAGTGATTAGGGGGAAGGGGAGGAGGAGAAGGTGATTCCAGCTATTGCATTAACATTTGCTGGGGGAAAGGGGGAGCATTGCCTGCTCATCCTTTTCCACATTCCAGCAATACCATAGGGTAACCTGTGGTGCTGGAATCACCATCCCTGGAGGTGTTCAAAAAACATGTGGATGCAGCACTTAGGCACAAGATTTAGTGATGGACCTGGTAGGGCTGAGTTAACAGATGGACTCAATGATCTTTTCCAACCTAAATTATTCTGTGATTCTAATTCTGCCTTCTGGGGCGTGTGAGCACCTTACATGATAGACTCACGTGTGAGGTTCTTAGTGAATGTGGAGGAAGAAGAAATAACTTTTGTAGCAAGACAGTGGTGACAGAATTTTGACCATAATCTCAAAGTCTGCCAGAGGGATAATCTTATCCCCTTTAATTTTTCTCTTCACTGATGTGACAGTTTTCCAGAGGAACTTTATTTGGCCTGTGGCTTTTCCTTCCCACCATGTGACAGAATATGCTGTGTAATGTGCTTTCATCACAGCACCTCACTGCTGATTTCAACTGATAAGGAGAACAAGGGGATCTAAAATGACTGGCACAGAATGGAAATCACAAAGAACCATTAAGGCTTAGCTTACAAAGACAAGCCTGCAAATAATAATAAGCAGAGTCATGACTTGAACAAAGGTTTTTTATTTTCCAAGACTGCATGTTACAGTCTATCATTCTTCCCAAAGTGGGTAAAGTTATCACTGATAAGGCTTGTGTATTATATAAAGATGACCCATGTAAAAAGCATGACTTCCAATTGGTTGCTTCCAAAAATGTCTTTTACTGTAAAGTATTTTTGATTCTCTTGTGTAAAAATGCAGAAAGCAGCTGTATGCCTACAGGGGAATAACAAGATATGCTCAATAAGGACAGGACAGTCTTTGCTGTCTCTTAAACAACAACCCATGTGGTCCTTCCCTCCTCTGTCAACATACCTATCTCTGTCGCTGCTGCACTATCCACAGCTTCTCCTGTTTCTTCTTCTTTTGTTTCAGGCCCTTCACTTACTGTCTCACTGAGCAGCTCAGTTTCCACCTGTTCTCCCGTCTCACCTGGGAAGGGTAACCATGGAGATCAAATTAGGATCCACTAAAAAAAGCACCAAGTGTCCCAGCTTCTTTCTGTAAACCTGATTTTGTTTTGTAAGCTCTCCAATGCACATTATCAAGGTATCCCCTGAATGAACCCAGAGAGAACAAACAGGAAAACAAACACTTTTCATCATCCAGCTGAAATATGGTTGCCTTATGCTCATGAAGTTCTCCTAATGCTTTCACAAAATCCCCTTGATGCTGTATCCAAAGGAAATAATGAGTATATTTCTGCTCAAATTGTTTTTTCCTGAATTTTATTTCATAGATGTGCAGTTTTATTTGCAATTGGAAAAAAAAAAACAGAAATAGAAAACATGGTAACATGCAAGTCTGGCTGAAACCCTGCTTTCCCAGGGAAGCTGCTGCCTAACTCATTTCCTCCCATAGCTATGAAAGCATAAAGGGAAAGCAAAACAAATGCTAAGTATCATATGTACCATAGCATCAAAATAGAAAATCCCTTCTTCCTCAGAAGAAAGGAAGAGAGTGCACACAAGTTAAGGCATTCCTTCTACCACGGAAATAATAGGAGCAAAACTCTTTTCCCCAAAAGCTTCATTCACACGCCCTGCACACACCACTTGGTGCTAGAGGCTCCACAACTCATCTTCAGACAGACAGACAGACAGACAACTGTAAACATGTTTCTACTGATGAGATGTGACAGCACAAGCTCCAGGGTGTGCTGCTCTGCCTCTGGCACTGCCCTCAGGCTTACAAATGGTGAATAATGAAATTGGAGTTTGCAGCTGGGCAGGATGTGTCTTTAACAGGTGAGCAACCCGTCATTTGCTGCTTACATAAAACAAGACTTTATTCCAAAGGATAGATGATTGTGTAGAGGACAAAATGTTTTCATGAAGAGACACAGGAGAGGACATAGCAATCCAACAACCATGCTCAGCTACAAAGGATGTGCAAAGAATGAGATTCATAGAGCCAGTTCAGAGACAAGCAGCACAAAGCCACAGGAGTAGTGGCAGCGTGTGTAACTGGCTCTGGAATTCACACGGATCAGTCCTTCTGCACCTCACGCTTCTGCAAGGCCAAAGTGGAGTGAGGATGTCTCCCTGCAGAGAAATACTCCTCATGTGCTTCACCTGCTCGTTCCCTGAAGAAGAACTACCCCAGGAAGGCACCTGATTCCTTACTGAGATACTTTGTACCTTTTAGGAGAAACTTGATTCCTGCTGTGAAGTGTTCATCTTCGGCAAGTGCAGTCCATGTCCTCTGGGCACTAGCCCAAGGAGGAGCATAGCCTGCAATTTCCAGGAAGGAGCACACCTCCTGCTAAAGGTCCCTCCACAGCACGTGGAAATCCCATCACCTCAGACACCACTGCTTCCTCACACAGCCTCTCTCCCTACCCAGTCACGTCCAAGCATTGGTGCAAAACCAGCCCGGTATCTCTGCACTGCTGCTTCTATTCTGCTTGTCTTGTAGCCAAGCTTCAAGGACACACTGGAGATGCCAAGTGTGCATCAAAGAGATGCTTTTTCTTCTACATCCAGCTTTATGTGTGCAGGGACAGTTGGCACATAATTAATAATTAGTAATTTATAATTTAATTTTTAGTACATGTGACTAAATAATTGAACCTTGGGCTGCGCAAATAGTAAGGAATGTATCTGAGCTACCCAGAGATACAATGTTTTAAATGAGGGGTATGGTGGGACATTTTACCTGCTAAGAACAAAATGAACATTAAATTAAATAGAAGAGGTGGAACTGCTGATTAAATTTATTACAGCTTGGACTTGTAAATCCGAGGCTTCCCCAGCCACATTCTTCTATGCCTCCCATTGCACAGACTCCCTGGACCAAATTCTGACTCCAGAAACTCATTTGAGGCTCTTAGTAAAGCCAAGAGGACCCACACAGAAGTCCCTGGAGGTAAATTTTGGTCTTCTGAATTTATGAAAGCACAAATATTACCCTCAGCGAGGTGCTCCTCTTCAGCAATATGTACTTTCTCGACGACTTCCACTAGAGAGGTGTCACTGCCCTCTGCCAGCCCACTGTCCTCTGCTGGTTCTGGCGATGGTGCCCCAGCATCTTCTCCTGGCGCTGGCGGTGAGGGGCCCCTGCTCTCCTCTCGCCACACGGAGGGCAGCTCGGAGCTCTCCTCCTCTCCTGCAGGCAGCGGCTCGGTGCCCTCTGGCTCCTCCCTTTTACTGACCGACCCCGTCTGTCCTTCCACGTCCCGGAGCGCGGCTGAAGCCTCCTCTGCCGGCAGCTGCTGGCCCGGGCTGCTCCCCTCCGAGGCCAGGCTCGCCCGCTCTGCTGGCTCCAGCGGGGCTTGGCCAGCTGCACTTCCATGGTCACCTGCAGTCACGGGGTTTGCACCTGAGGATGCTTTCAGTCACAGCGGGGCAAGGAAAGGAAAAAGAGGATTACAGATAATTGGTGAATGGGCACGTAAGATGGATGACAACTAAACCCACAGTGAACCACACAAGCAGTACCTGACAAAGAGCTTCCTCCTGGCTGGGGAAACACTCCCTCCCAGGTCTGCGCACATATCCAGTAGAGGATGGTGTGGCTCTTACAGTAAAAATAAGTTTTCATTTGATGCATGCAATACATTTTTACATGAAGAGAGCAGACTTGTTTGCATGTCAATGTTCAATTACATTTTCCCTTTTGAATCTGCAGCGTGCAGGTGCTTTTCTGGTGATGGGACACTGCAGGGAAGCACCTTTTCCTACCCCAAACCAAGCACAGCATCAATGTGGGGAGTGTGAGGGAGCTGCTGTCCTGGGCTGTGTGTGAGAAGTTCTGGTGGTACCTTCAGGTGGACTGAAAACAACCCCTGAGAACCCAGAGGATGAGCAGTGCTCACCTCATAAAACAAAAAACCACTTTGTCTGTCTTTTTCAATACTAAACTACCATTCATACTATGTTTTGTCTAGCAAAGAAAATCAGCAACAGGAAGCCTAAACAAATTAAAACTTCCACTTCTTTCATCTTTCATCAACTTATTGGCTAGCAAACCAATGGAGTTTGACAGAAAAAAAAATTATGAATAAAGAACTGACAAAATTACTTTGACAGGTATTTAAGGATAAAAGCTGAAGACTCAAAATGAGCTATACCTACCTATCAGACTGACTTACTAACATTCTAATGAAATTCAGTTTGACAGGATCTTGTACTTAACCTTTTCCTAAAGAATGTCAGGATGAAACCCCCGGTAATTCAAGCATGAAATCTGCTTATATAATCATTACAAAACTGGAAAAACTGTATTTTCTGAGAAAATTATGATTGCAGTGTCAATGCCAGTAAGCAGAACCATATGATACTGTTCACAGATGAACACATCTACACATGTTCATATAGACATAGATGAACAGGAAAAAAAGTAGTACACCCTGCTCTTAAAACATCTGCTTGAATATTGCTGCCCTTAAAGTAAGTTTAGAGTTCTTTTGAGACATTCAAACAAAACAGCTCCCCAGCAAGAGTCACCTCATCAGCATGTGCCTACAGACCCAGGGAAGGATGGCTAAACCAGAAGAAGAGCAAGAACTGAGAATCTGGACTGTTGAGACAGACAGAAGGCAATTCTGACTATGACAGATAAAATCTCATTTGTCCCAGGAACTGTCAAATCATCCAAGTTCCAAACAACCCCTCCAAATCCACAGTGGCATGGCAATTTATAATGCAACAACAGGAGGCAAACTCAGCAATGGGTCTCTGACAACAGACCCCCCACCCAGACCCCCCACCAAGGGACAGCTGCCAGGGGCAGAGGGCCCCAGCCCACGGGGCTGAGTGTCAATCTGTCAGGGGAATTCCTCTGTCAACCTGTTCAAGCCCCTTTGCAACCTGTTTACACTCAGTCTCCACTATACCCAAGGGGAATGAGGGCTGCAGCCCACTTACACCCCCTGGAAAACACATCTTGGCTGGTTTTAAGCCTGCTGCTGGTCATTTCATCAAGGGGCAGTTCTTGCATTATGAGAAACAGCAAATATATTTCCTTGGTTGCTTTCTCTAGATCTCTATCACACCTTGTCTCCCAAGCACTCCTTTTCCTAAAATGAAGCTCAAGGTGAAACAGATACCAAATCAGAATAGTGAGTAAATGTTAAACTTAAGCTACTCTAAGCAGTGATTAAAAAAGTAATGTACGCTCAGAGACCAGAAATTTGATGTTTTCACATTTTTATTTTTCATCCCTTTAGACACTTTTCACACCTTCACCTTGCTCAGTGCCAGATAGAGAGAGATCATTTAAAGCCTACAGATAGAAACAAAAGAGCCATGAAAATTAGCATGTTATACAGAGTTTTAATTCATGTTAGCAGTAAAAGAAACAATTCAAATGTATTATTACTAGGAATCTCCTGCAGCTTCTATAAGCATCAGCCCTATAACTTCCAGCTAGCCCTCTCTACATCAAAATGTTTTATAAAAATTGGATTATGAAATACTGCTATGCAACACAAGATCTGCACTGCTGGAAACCCTGGAAGCATTCCTGCGCTCTCATCTGAAATGCAAAGAATTCCCTAATATGGAAAAAATAAATCCTCTCACTAATCTGTTCAATAACTTTATCCCCAAGAAAAATGAATATCATGTGGCAGTCAGCATTCCTAGAATTTCTTCTAGTTTTGTTTTATTTTTAAATTTAATTTTTTTTATTTTTCCTGCTGTAGACTCTTTTAGCTGGAAAAACAAAGAAAAACACAGTGAATGTATGTGATCCATGGCTACAGTATTTTCTCTTTGCCTTCTTTCCTTTTGGAAAAGCCTCAAAGTTTTATGAGTTACACATCACTGGAAGAAAGTGAAATGCAGTTGCCCTTATTAACTTATTTAGAGAAGTTTTTTTCAAATTATCTTTTCTTATTAAAATTTTAACATATCTGGTTAGTAATTGCCTAATTAATGCAGATCTTTCAGCTGTAATTACAAACTGCATTTCGTCCTTGCTGTGACATTAGTGTATGTATTTAGAACATTTCATGACCCATCCTGCCATGAACGTGCTTTTATACAGAATAATTAAAATACTCAGAATAAATTACTTCTGCTGTTACTTTGAACCCTTCAGTGCTCCTTTGCAGGTATCATGTAGTGGAGGATGGAAAGGCAGAGGAATTGGTACATTGACAGGTGACGGAGACAGCAGGTACAGCATAAAGAGGTTTCTCCTGATGCTTTCAGCAGATCTGTGCTGGCTCTGTGGGGGCAGCGCTCAGCCCATAACCTGCTCTCCTCTCTGCAGTCACAAGCCACAGCACCACAAGACAACACACAGAATATAAACCAATGCAAAAACCATGGATGCTGCAGGCACAGTAACACCAACAGATCATAACTCAAGAATACAGGAAATAAATGCAGTAAAATGAAATGCAAACAACTTTTTTGGGTCTGCCTTCGAGATGTATCTTTCTGGAGAGGACAACTGCTGTAACTGCAGCATTCAGGTTCTTACAGAAGTGTTTCCAAACCTTCCTTGAAGCAAAGAGCTAAATATGATAAACATGGAAACAAAGTTTTGTTTTAGTTTTACTGAATAGCAAGGATATTCTCATGGAACATCCTGCAAATATACCTTGCTCACAAAATTCGTCTGCTGTGACTTGAGCCAATTAAAGCCACATGAACATTGCCGACGCTGCACACTATGTCGGGGTGGATTTTGTAAGAAAAAGGAAGGATAGCAGGGTCAAATATTACTAGTTCATTATTCTTTTAAAGAAGGAAAGAAAGGGCACTAGACTGGCAAGGAACTACACAAAAAAACCAACAGCAGGACGTATCTGGAAATTAGACAAACAAAACACTCTGCGGAGCGGAGTGGAAGTGACTTGGGCATTCATTCACAAGATACACCAGTTTCGAAGCCACCGCTCACGGGGCGCAGCTCCCTCCTCGGCGCGGGCAGAATGAAAAGCCGAGGCAAGCCGGACGGCTCCTGGCCCCGCTTCTGGGGTTTCTGTGGGACGCGCACCCGCGGCGCCTTCCCTGCGATGGGACGGGACAGGACGGGACGGGACGGAATGGGACAGGACAGGA